GCATGAAAGCAGGAAGATGGGTAGGAATAAAATAATCTCTGCTAGAAGTAGTGGTGGCTTGCACAAACAGAGTTCAAAAGAGATATTAAAAAGGGGTCACATAGAAAACGTGTTATAAAAGGAACGTCTGAAAGGATTTGTGGATAGATGGATGGAAAGAGGGGAAGCCTGGGGAAAATTAGATGAAATAAGTATTATGAAAATGTTGCAGTGGCCTTTATTGAGAAAGGGAAAATATAGAAGATTTGGAGGAAAAAAGTAGAAACTTAGTTTTGAACACACTCAAACTAAATAGACAGATAGATACAGATAGGTAGAGAGAGAGAGACAGAGAGAGAGAGACAGACAGACAGAGAGAGAGAGAGAGAGAGAGCGCAACAGACAGACAGACAGAGAGAGGGACAGATAGACAGAGAGACAGTCTGAAATATGAGCTCAGAGTTGAGGATAAAAATCCAGGATGGAGACAAAGATCAAGATTACAAGCTCAGAAACAAATTACTTTTGTTTGCTGAGACAAAATTTACTACAAAGCTGGCCTCAAATTCTTAATCCTCTTGACTCAGTCTCCCAAACTGTACACCCAGATATGAGCATGAATAATATATGAAAAGTAACTGAAAGACATTAGGAAGGAACAGAGGTGAAGGAAGCTGTATAAATAGAAGGGGATGCTGTCATGGAAAGGGGAGCCAACCTCAAGGACCAAGTAATCAACAGAGCAAATGAATCAGAAAAGTCAAACGAAGCATAAAGTCAGCAATTTCCTGAAACAAGAGTGCCATGATTTGAAGATCCCCTTCCAAAACTAATCTTGAAATTAAATGGGCACTGAAACATGTCTCATGAGCAGATTAATGTCGATATTATGGCTTACAGTGAGAATGAGCTCACTCCTCATAAAAAGATGAGTTCTGCTAGATGTTTGTTTTTATTAAAAAGATGGCTGAGTAAATGTCAACAGCATGAAAAGCACCAAAGCCATATATTTATAAAATCTGTGGTGACAAATACATGCTTTTTGTCCCTCCACTCAGCATATATATATACACATATATCGTGTTTCTGCTATGAGCCAGGCACCATACTTGTTTCTGAGGCAGAAGAGAGGACAAAACAAGTACACAGCTAAAACCACAGGGCAATGAGTTCGAGACCAGCCTGGTCTACAGAGCTAGTTCTAGGACAGGCTTTAAAGCCACAGAGAAACCCTGTCTCGAAAAAACCAAAAAATAAAATAAATAAATAAATAAATAAATAAATAAATAAATAAATAAAACCACAGGGCAAATATTTATGAGTGCTATGAAGAAATCCCGACTTTAAAATACAACGCCTTGGCCCCAAGTCTTCAAGGATGTAGTTCTTTACTGAAATAATGAAAAGTCAATTATACCAAGTCCTAGAGCTAACTGTTCATACATAGGAAAGGGATGTTCCAGAAAAGAACTTGGAAGAAAGAAATGTGGCTGGGCTGGAGAGATGGCTCAGAGGTTAAGAGCATTGCCTGTTCTTCCAAAGGTCCTGAGTTCAATTCCCAGCAACCACATGGTGGCTCACAACCATCTGTAATGAGATCTGGTGCCCTCTTCTGGCCTGCAGACATACACACAGACAGAATATTGTATAGATAATAAAAATAAATAAATTTAAAAAAAAAAAAGAAAAGAAATGTGGCCACAGAGACTTCGGGGAGGGGATTAAGTACAGTCAGATACAACAAGGGCCATAGCAATGAAGACTAAGAACATCTCTGAAATGGTCTAACAACAAGAGGCAAGGCTGGGCTGGAAGCAAAGACAGGGGAACCAAATGAGGACATTAAGCTTCATGAAGAGCCCCATCTGCATCTCTGTTATCACAGGGAGTTCAGAGAATTCCTAGAGAAGGAATCCTTTTACTCTAAACTGTGAGAAGGAACAATGAAAGTTAAACCTAGGAGTCCTAGAAGACATAAAATTATTATGTTAGAAAATGATTCATGCTTAAGTATATACTTGAGATATCTATGGTTTTATGAAAGGCTTACTTTATCAATATCTTCCTCTTCCTCGTCTTCTTCCTCCTCTTCTGAAAAATCAAGAAGTTTCTTGGCTAACAACGGATGCCACTGAAGACACTTCCGTTTTGGTCGTTTTCCAGCCCCTTCTCCTTCTGATGAATGTTCTTTATTTCTATTACTGCCTTTCATCACTGTGACCTGGGGCAGGAGTGCAAAAGATGGAGAGAAGGTGAATATGAACCAAAGTCAGTTTGATTAAAATTACTTAATTTTGTCCAGTTAGCTCTCATTGGGTTATAATTTTAATTTTCTAAATTATATATCAGCTTAGGCACTTACTGGATACAGTGAGAATCTTAAGTACATAATCATGCATTCATTTTAATGGGCTAAATTGGGCTAAAAATTTTGCCTTAATAAGTCTACTTCTTTCCACTCCATAACTTCAAAACTTAAAACCTAAATAAGCTATTAGGTGATTACCAGTTACATTAACCTGTTCATATTTATTCAGAATAGAGACTCCCACTCTCCTAACACAAGACTTGATGAAAGACGACATTTGGGAGAGCAGAGGGATTCTGAGAGGGGTCCTCTACACATTCTGTCATGACTATTACTTTTCAAGTGAATTTTACATTCTATACTAAGATAAATATGTACTTGCCATATTAAATAAGTGTTTTCTAAGAGTCACTTGATATTTGGTTTAGATTTAAAATAAAACTATTTTATACAATAAAATACATTTTTTCAAAACCTGTGCAATTTTCAAGCATTTGGTGCATGAACACACTGTGGGTCACAAAGCAGAGTGATCCCTGTCACCTGTCTACAATCAAATAAAACAAGCACATGCTTTTTTTCCCCATCTCTCTAGCATACTTGCAGCCTGATTTAAAAAGGAAAAAAAATATATCTTTACAATTTTTAAATGCATAATTGGCTTAAATAGTTAAGAGAGAATCAGGATATAATTGTGACACAATATCCTTTAGATCCTCAATTCTCCATTATTTTTTAATGACTTGAAAAAAGTTGATAAAAGTATTGTAGGTTGTAACAACATGTATGTCATTTTGCAACATGACCAACCCTAGAACCTAAAAGTTAACTAAGTACTTTCTTATATGCTCTCATTTTTTCTGATTTATAATTTCTCACTCATTTAATGTAAAATACAGATTACTATTCATATATATTCATGTAAAACTCAGGCACTATAGTCAAATGCTATCAAACATTAGTGGTTTGGGGACACAGGCTGACAATTATGAACAAACACTCATCTCACTTCATGGATATTCCAGCCAATTCAATGCACACAATATAATGCCACTGAATTTCAGACACCGCGTTGAAACAGTCTTGGGTCCATGCACATAAAGCATCAAGATTCCATCCTGTTCTCAGGTCTTGTAAATAACACAGCACGGGCAAACTCATCCATCTTCTGTATTTTTGGATTTTTGAATCACACTTAGGCTTTCTTCACTTTAAAGCAAAAAGCTACCCACTAGTGTTTTCTCTTAGAACTTGTATGACTTCATCTTAGACACTGAAACACTTTAATAAAAGTAGTAAAGTAGGGATCTAGTTTACTCAATTATTGTAAATAGTTAGCCAACTGTACCAGTACCATTTCTTAAAGAATTTAGATTTCTCCTCACTTCCCAAGAATGACACTTTTATCCATACTAAATTTCTATACAGACACAAGTCCATTTCACTATTTTGTTAATCACTGCCTCTAACTTCTTATGAATCCCTTAACCAATTATAATAGTCTTAGGAACTATATCGTTCAGCACCCTTTAAACTCTCGTATTTGTGTACATGGTGGGAGTAGTGAGCAACAGTTTGTAGGGGTTGGTTCTTCCTTCCACCATATAGGCTCTAGGAATCAACTCAGATCATTAGGCTTACGTGTAAGAGCCTTTACTCACAGAGCCATTTCCATGGTTCCAAAGTTGTGTACATCATGCCCTTTCTATTAGGTTAACATATCTTGTTCAATCTGGTAAAAATGGTGTAACAAAATATGAGTACAATGCAGTTTATTTAACCAGCTCACTGCTGATGGACAGTGAAATAAGTCTTTCATTGAAGATAGCAATAAAATATGTGTTTTAATAAAATAAAATTTTTCATTTTGATAAAAAAAAACCTTCATAAAGTATGCATCCGTCTACCACTAAGCCAAAAACAAAGCAAGCTGAAGAAAGTGAGAAAACTGGGAGGGGGAAGAGAGAGAGGAAAGAAGGAGTAGGAAAGAAAAGAGAAAGTGAAAGGGAGGGAGAGGAGGAGGAAGCAACACAGTGTCCCTGTGGCTTTTGTAGTAAGAACTTCTGCTGAATGAAGTAACTGTACGACTCGTGTGGCTGCTTTAGGAGCACAAGCAGTTATTGAAAACTCGACTAGAACTAGTTATCTGGCATACTCTTAACAAAAAAAAAATTAGATTTCTTGTGAATTGATAGGCCATTTAACAACTCCAATTTTATCTACAAATAAAGCTTGGCACAGGAGCCCAATTTCCAAAAATACCATTGCCATACAGAAAGTAAAGACAATGGTTGCTTCTGCGGTTTATTAATCATTCAGAATAAGCTGTCTGAGTGGTAATTAAACCCATATTTGGGACCCAATATTTTATGAGATAACACATATTTTAATAGTAAAAGAAGTCAATGGGAAACTATATAGTTAGGCATTTAATCAATTGGAGAAAGCAAAGTATTGTCAGTGCCTTTAGAAAAATGAATTTAGTAACCAGACTTGTGAATTACATTATACTATTAGTTTTACATATAATAAGCATTTATTGTACATAAAAACATATGTTCCAGTATCCTTCACAGATTCTAAACTCCTATGATGCCCAAATCTCTCATAAAATAGTATAGTATTTTACACAAGCACACTGTTTTAAGTCGATCTTAAATATTCCCAAAAGCTCAATGTTGTGAAGGTCTGATCCCCAGCTCATGGTACCGTGGGGAGGTGGAACTTTACAGGCTGGTAGAAAAAGATAATCTTGGAAAGAATGCCCTTGAAGGGGATGTGAGGACCCCGCCCCTTCATCTCTCTTTGCTTCCTGACTGCAGTGGGGTGAGCAGTGTCTTCTGCCCCTACCACTGGGTACTGTACCACCACTACAGGTACAAAGTAATGAGGTCAGTGATCACAGCCCGAGCACGACCAAATGATCTAAATCTTTTAACTTGATCTTATTTTGCCAGTGACATAAAGCTGAGTAACATACAGAAGTATCTTTCCCCATCTTTCAGTCATCTCTAGATTATTTATAATGTTAATACGATGTAAATACTATGTAAATCATTGCTCTACCATACGTTTGGGGATTAATGACAAGAAGCCTGTACAAGATAAGCACAGATGTGAGTTTTATTTTTTTTTTCCTTCAATATTTATGAGGCTGGTTGAATCAAATAGAGATCTATTATATATCTGTATATATATATATATAAGTCAATATTCATAGATAAAATAGAATATTAAGAATCAAATTAATGGCTAGTATGTGTAGTTTAAAGCTCACCTTCATTCTCATCCTGCATTACCTGTTCTCACTCTTTTTTATATAGTACTCATATGACTTTGGCTACTGTACCTTCTTTTAAAAGATTTGTTAAATTTTATGTATATCAATGAGTGCTCCATTGGCATGTATGCTTTTATGCCATAGGAGGGCATCAGATCCCACTATAGAGTCACCACCATGTGGTTGCTGAGAATTAAACTCAAGACCTCTGGAAGAGTAGCCAGTGCTGAACCACTGAACCATCTCTCCAGTCCCCACTGTACCTTCTTTTGATAACTTCAAAAATAATTCTCTTCATACAGAAATACACATAATGAATTTATATTGGCCATTTCACCACATTTTTCTGTGAATTATATTAATTTAAATACACCCCCTCTACTGTTGAGTCTTTTCATAATGGTTCAGGACATTGTCGTCTGTTTGTCTGTCTCCTGTCATACCAAAGTACTGAAATCAGTTAGGTGTAAGCATCAACAGCTATACAAACCCCAGTACTTAACTGTGGCAGTGATCCACTGTTTTTATATACTACGGTGACTTCACAATAACCACCACCTCTTCTATTTCTCTGAATTCCGATATCCTTCTTCTGAGTGGGAAAGGGGAATGAAAACTGTCCAACTCTGACACACTGACCAAGGTGGCCTGTAGTGGGTGAAAACCAACAGCCACCTGGAGTGGAGGAAAATAGGGCCAGTAACCCCAGCACAAGGTCAGAAACAAAGCAGGACATTTAATTTCGGCACTCATGAGAGATAAAAAGAAGCAAAAGTGAACTTCAGGTAGTACATCTCAGATGGAAGAATCGGGAAAGTGTAATCTAAAGGTGTAAAACACCTCCAACTGGGAACTGGACACTTCAATAATTTACAGTAATAATAACTATCTAATAAAACAAGCTAGATTTTAATTTCCTATCATCTATTTTCAGACCACAAAAAGAAGGTAAAACCATAGGGGATAATGATAATCTTGACTGTAATTCTCAAAAGCAGTAAGAAATAAAGAGAAGAATCAAAAGAAGTAGGAAAGACAAAGGCAAAGAAGACATAAGTCTGAGATGCTACCACTGATCTTCAACAAGAAGGTGGAAATTTTATTAATTTTGACAGTGACAGAATAGCAATTTTATCTATCTATCTATCTATCTATCTATCTATCTATCTATCTATCTATCTATCTATCTGGCTGCTGTTTCTTATATGAGAACAATTCAGCTGGCAATCTATATGGAATAAATGAAGCGATCAAAAACTTTCATTCAAACGGGTTATTCTATCCTCTATGACTGTAAGACAATCAATGGTAGATTACTTGATCAATGGGCTCAGTACTTGAAAGACTAAATGAGAACAAAATGTTGCTGCTGAGGCTGCCAAGTGAATGAAGACCTCTATGCAAAACACGGAATATTTATTTAATATTACAAAAAGCAATGTCACCAGTGTATTTTCTACGGGTGTAGTCACTGTACTGAATATTTTAAAAATATTTTCTTACTTTCACTTATGTGTATATGTGTAGATGAGTAGGTATGTGTAGTTGCATGCGTATAGGTGCCCATAGAAGCCAGAAGAGAATACTGGATTGCCTGTAGCTAAAGTTGTAGGTGAGGTGCTGGGAACCAAACTTAAGTCCTCTATAAGAGTAGTAAGGGCTCTTAATGCTGAACAATCTCTCCAAATCCCTCACTGACAATTATACATGGTGGAGAGAACTTCAGTTAACTGTGTTCTTCAAACTTATTCACTTAAGACCTGCCTCATGAGCAAAACTCCACAACAACAACAACAACAACAACACTAAAGACAGTCAAAGAAAATAATGTAGGGAAAACAGATTTACTATTAGCAGGCCTCAAATAGATGTCCCCCTTTGTAGTCAATGACTTGTGAAGTTAGTCACCACACAGGTCCTTCCTCCTGAGAAAACTCAACAGTAGTTTGCTAACAGTGCCCAGGACACTGACCCAGAGGCTCTCCTTCAGTGTCAGCACAGCACACCACTTCCTTCCACACCCCAGAGAGACAGTACAGTTTTAACAGGCAGCACCTACCCACTCACGAATAGTCTAAGGTTCTGCTTAGAAAAGTCAGGCTTCTGCCACTCACTAGTAGTCCATATGCCTGCAGACAGTATCTCCAATCTCAAAAACTGAAAAAGGAGAGGTATCCTTTCCTTGTCTGATTGGAGTCAACGACAGTATGTTTGAAAAAGATCCTCTCAGTCTTTCTATCGCCTTGTCTTACAGCGCAGACCATCAGTACACATCCTTCTTTAAAATATTATTTCAGGGAGATTTCTGGGACTGTTGGTGAGCCGGGCTTTTTTCCCGACATCTTAGGGAAGCTGCAGTGGTTGTCGCCACTCTCCGAACTTCATCATGAAGCCCAAGGATGACAAGAAGAAGAAAGATGCCGGAAAGTCGGCCAAAAAAGACAAAGACCTAGTAAATAAGTCCGGTGGCAAGGCCAAAAAGAAGAAGTGTTCCAAAGGCAAAGTTCGGGACAAGCTCAACAATCTAGTCCTGTCTGACAAGGCTACATACGACAAACTCTGTAAGGAAGTGTCCAACTATAAACTTATTACTCCAGCCGTGGTCTCTGAGAGACTGAAAATTCGCGGTCCCTTGGCCAGGGCAGCTCTTCAAGAGCTGCTTTCAAAGCTGGTTTCAAAGCACAGAGCCCAAGTAATTTACACCAGAAACACAAAGGGTGGAGATGCCCCAGCTGCTGGTGAAGATGCATGAACAGGTTCAATCAGCTGTACATTTGGAAAAATAAGACTTTATTAAATAAAAAAAATTATTTCGGCAGCACAGTCCTTTTAACTTTCGTGATGTCTAATAAAACCCTATCCCTATCCTAGGGATGGAATCTCAGACACAGGAGAAGATAGGGGAGGCTCATGAACTATGTTAGCAACACACATTGTAACCTGAATGAAGATGGGGCTGCTTCACATCTTTCTCTACTCTGTAGCCAAAAAGCAACTGTGAAGTAGCAGTTCTATTACTAGTGCATAATCTGAACCAGTCTTCTCTTAGTCTTTCACAGGAGGCTTGCTTCTGGAGAGGCCAACAAATGTCCCAACCTTGAAGCCTTGCTCCTTCTTACCCTGAAATCCCACTTTCTGTCTAAGTTGTTACTCATCCTCAAAGACTGCTGTCAAATAGCCCCTCCTTTCCAAGACCTTAGTGTGGGAGCCCTGAATCAAAGTCCAACACACCCTTCACTCCAAGCCTCCTTTGATCCCAGTTTCACTTCCCTAATTTCGGTTACTTGTGGTCAAGTATACTCTGAAAAATTACAGAGAAAAATTCCAGAAATAAACTATTTTTAAGTTATAAACCATTCAAAGTAGCATGAGGAAATAGTGTGTCATTCAGTTGGATACAAACCAGGCATTGGTTCAGTGAAACTACCTGTGTATTAGTCCACTTGGTAGCTACCCCAGACATCATACACAGCCAGACTTGGGAGGGCCCACCTTTTCCAATCAACTTTTATTTTAATAATGACTCCAGGAAAGGTACGAGTGAGTGAGTAGTGATGTTAGCAACTCAGATATGAAAAGTCTATGTGAAAGAGAAGCTGTGAAGTTCTTCCTTTAAGGGAAAAGGTGAATGTTCTCAACCCATCAGGAAGAAAATTCTATGCAGAAGTTGCTAAGTCTATAATAACAGTGAGCTTTCAAATCACGAAATTGTGATGAAAAGAGAAACGTATGCCAGGTTTGTTGTTACACTTCAAACTACAAGTTATAGCAGCAAAACATAAGTGCTTGGTTAAGATGGAAAAGACATTAAATCTGCAAGTGTAAGGAGAAAAACCTTGTTTGGACAATGGTAACAAACTGCACCAGAAGGAATTCAGGCTTCTGAAAGACATCAGCATGGGCTCTCCAGAGGGACCACAGGCCATTTACTGAAAGTTAGGGTGGTGGTACAGACTCGCAAATAAGCTTAAACTAAAAAAATAAATACCACTGGAGGAAGTGTGCCTGCCAAGGAAGAGGCTATCGACACATCTATATTGCACCAACAGCACACCTTTTACCAAATGTATTCAAGTTCTCATTATATCCATACTTTATTATATCTTATTATAATAATTCAATTTTATTATCACCTTATCACTATTAATCTTTTACATACCTAATAAGTAAATAAACATTTGCCACAGGTAGAAATGTATAGTGAAAACCTACTAGAGTACTGGGCTGTAATTCCCACCATCTACTAATGCCCCAATGTAACGATCACGTTTTCTAGTATTTTGTAGAGAAGTTTACATCCTAAATTGCTATTCTTCAACTGGCTTTAAAAATTGTCTTTTAGTTTACATATTACGAAAGGGTTTTATTTATATGCATTTATTAGCATTTAGGTAATAATTATCACATTGACAAGAGGAAGCACAAGAAAATATGGTCACAGATATTTCCTCTTCCTTATTATCAGCAGCACAGTTAGGACCTGTCTGTGACCTTGGTGTTCAACCACACTCACTGTAACTCCCATTCAGCCTATCCTTTGCCTCTGCTCTGTCATCTGCGTTTCCCCATTGCTTCTCTCCACCCCTTCCTCACAGCTTCTGTGCTGTGCTTTATGTGCTCTTCCATGTCTGGGGCCCGTGGCCCTGTCCTCTCTGCTCCAGCCTGCCTCACATACTGCACTGGCTCTAGCTCATGTCGCCTGTCTTCCAGTCATCGGTACTTCCAACCAACCACACTTACACATAGGCTATACTGTAGTTTTTGACCATTGCCTTTATAATAATATTTTCCTATACAGTGTATGTAAAATATTATGCCCTCATGGGAATTTCTCTCTCAGAAACACTTCAGAGTAATGACTGTGCCAGAATTGTGTTTTACCCCATCAGTCATGATGTGGGATGCCCTTCCGTATCTGTGTTGCTTTTATTGGTTAATGAATAAAGCTGCTTTAGCTATGGCAGGGCAAAATATAGACAGGCTGGAAGAGATATACAGAGTAGGCAGAGTCAAAGAGACACCATGTAGCTGTCGAAGGAGAAGCACCAAGAACCTTTCCGGAAAGTCACAGCCTCATGGCAATACACAGATTAATAAAAATGGGTTAATTCAAGATGTAAGACCTAGCTAGAAATAAGTCTGAGTCATTGGCCAAACAGTGTTGTAATTAATATAGTTTCTGTGTGATTGTTTGGGTCTGGGCAGATGGGAAACAAATGAACAGTCCCCTACTACACAGTCAAAGCAGAGATATCTGTGCTAGACAAAAAGAGGTGGAAAGTGGGCATAGAAAGGACTTCCCGGTTTTTGTTATGCTTCTACGTTGTTCTGTTGGCAGGAGAAAGCAAGCTTGAAAGAAAACATGCAGAAAGACAAAACAGGAACTGCAAGAGGAGGAGAGAGAAAAGACACAAGTTAGCAAGGGAGTATGACAGATGTAGTAAGTCACAGTTAATGCCACACACTTTTTAATATCAGTCTACAAATATGTTCCAGTTCTTTTATTCCTTTCTGTGGCCACTGTTAATTGCTTTTCATTCTCTCAAAACACAGCCTATGGGAATGGGGTTCACTGGGGCTCTTTTCCTGTCATTGGTACTGTACTTTCACAACCCAAGCTCCGAGCCTTGTAGTAGGAGCTGCGGGCTTGCTTTTTGTCCCGCCCGGCTCCCACACGGCTAACTTTACACCAGAAATAACAACACACAAACTGTATTCTTTTAAATACTGCTTGGCCCATTAGCTCTAGCCCTTACAGGCTAATTCTGATATCCCGATCAACCCATCTCTAATAAACTGTGTAGCACCGGTCTTACCGGGAAAGATTCAGCATGTCTGACCTGGCGGCTTGCCCCAACCCTTAACCACCTTCCTTCTCTAGGCCAATTCTAGGGTTTCTGGATACTCATGTGACTCACATTTCCTCAAAACTCTGCAATCTGAGGTTGGTCTTCAGTGCTCACCTTTCAAACTACTTACTTGCTTGTCTTCTTACCCCCAATGTGCTCTGTAGAAAAGTGTTTCTCCCCAGCTCCTATTACTGTTATGAGCATGAATAATAACGATAATGGCAGCTAGTCATGTATGCTTCCTACACACCACATGCTAAGAGCTTTTTACTTATTAACACTTAGCTGACAACAAGTCTAAAGGATAGAAACAATAAAACGGAGGCACGTATAACATAGGTTTGTTTTGCCCTTATAAATTAACAAAAGTTTCACTAGACACATGTCACATGAGTAGGATTGAATTATGCTGTACAAGGAGACAATATTGATCATCTGGTACTCTACAAATGATATGTATAAATCATACCATGAACACAAAATTGGTAGAGACAATATTTGAACTCAGAAGTCTAGTTTCAAAATCTGATTCTTGACCATTAATCAATACTACTTCATAGTAACAGTAAAACTTTATTGAATGAACATTTGATACATACCAAACACTTTAACTCTTAATGTAAGTTTTGAGGAAAGATGCTATAATGATTACCTTTAAAAAACACAGCAACTGTAAATGACAAAGCTAATGAAAACCATAGTCACGGGGCCAGCATATGACGGGGCTTGAATTCAAACCTAGGTCTCACTCAGTTTTGAATCATCTTCCATACTGCTGTTCATGCCACAATGTGACACATTCTACGAATGTCCTTGCTTCCTGGTTAACATGTCAAATTCCTACCTGGTTTACCAATTCCAAACTTACTTTCTTCTTAGGCAGAGTCAAGGTCAACCCCTTCGCTTACTCCAACTGTACTTCAGTCTTCCTTTTTTGCTACCCTGAGCTACATTATACTTTGTGTTTCTTTGACAAACTGTCGGCAACTTGCTTATCAATCTCTTTGTCTTCAGTCTATATATAGTCCCTCTTTGAGAGTTCTCTCTGAATCCCCCCCTAGCCTCCTTTACCAAGTCTTTTTTTCTTTTTGTATAAACTGGTCTTTCCCAGGCCAGACAGACAGGTCTCCAACTATACAAAGGCCATGAAGCTAGCACCTATGCAGAACTGGTTGGCAGGCATTTGTTCATAGTGCTCAGCTTGTGGTGAACTGACATGGTCCTGTCCTGACTTTGGCTGTGACCTTCAACAGTAGCTCCTTATAGAGCCATTCTTGTTCTCTAGCATGCAGATTTTCCTAACCACGTCACAGACCCTCACATCTCTAATTCACTGATTCATATTTCAGCTATGCATTCTGGACGCCCAAGTAAGTTACCTTGCCTGAGATACCCCTGAAGAGTATGCCAAATCCTAGCAACTAGGAGCTAGGCATCTCTTACCTTCACCCAAATATTCAGAAATATTTTATATGCAGTATTTGTTTTTCTTATGCAATACATTTGTATATGAAAATGCTTATCTGTTCTGCTTTTTCTCACAAATTATTACATGTAACTATATACCACAACATCTAGTTTCTTACCAAGATCTGCCCCTTCTACTTCATACATATATTCCACTCTTTTCCATCAGCTTGGTCTTCTCAGCTAATGCTGCACTGATATCAGTTGTCTACATACAAATCAATCTGTCGACGGACTTTTTAAACAGCCTCTTAAAATACTAAAGCATAAGTCCAAACCCCTATCTTTACATAACATACAAGACTCGCTTGGCCTAGTCCCTGATTTATTTTACAGCTAGAGGTTTCTTTGCTAGGAAAAATTTGGCAACACTAAGAGTTTTCTCAACAGAGAATCACCAAATGAATTCAAAATCAACCATGTACATAATGAATCCAAGCTGTTTCTGGCAAGCTCACCATGAGCCTTCACCACAGCCTTGGTTCTGGACACAAAGTATACATACTCTGTACTACACATGTCATAGCATGCAGTATAAACAAACATGCTGCTTCAGTGACTAATGCCAGGATCTGTGGTGTGTTTACTGTACATAAAATGCATTGTGCTCATATATAAACATATGGTTCAATTACAGAAAAGAAAAATCTTTTAACATTCTCCTACCAATACGTCTCAGATTTAAGTATCATATTAGCATGTCTTTAGATTGTATTATTAGAATGTTGGATTTTTTAAAAGTTTTGTTTATGTTGCTAACTTAAATTATTTTTTTAAAAATGAATTTTTTGGCTTGAGATTAAGGACAGAATTTCTAACAATTTCTGAAATGTCCCCTAAGCATATTTCTATCATTATCTCCTATATATTTATACAAGCTGGCATTCTTTAGTTTATTTTTTATTGATTGATTTTATTGAGTTATACATTTTTCTCTGCTCCCCTCCTTTCCTCTCGCCTCCCCATCAACCCTCTCTTCATGGTCCCCATGCTTCCAATTTACTCAGGAGATCTTGACTTTTTCTATTTCCCATGTATATTAAATCCACATATGATTCTCTTAGGGTCCTCAATGTTGTCTAGGTTCTCTTGGATTATGATTTGTAGGCTGGTTTTCTTTGTTTCATGTTTAAAAACTACTTATGAGTGAGTACATGTGATAATTGTCTTTCTGGGTCTGGGTTACCTCACTCAATATGATGTTTTCTAGCTCCATCCATTTGCTTGCAAATTTCAAGATGTCATTATTATTTTCTGCTGTGTAGTACTTCATTATGTAAATGTACCACAGGCTGTTTTTAGGTCTGGCTCTGACAAACAACGCTGCTATGAACATAGCTGAGCACATGTCCTTGTGGTACAATTGAGCATCCTTTGGGTATCTACCCAAAAGTGATATTGCTGGGTCTTGAGGAAGGTTGTTTCCTAATTTTCTGAGGAATTGCCATACTGATATCCAAAGGGGCTGTACCAGAGAAGATGGCATTCTTAATGTTGACAATTATAAAATAAATCAACTCTGAAAAATACTTAAATATACTATGATACTATTCTACAGTATTAGTCAACCAAAATTTAATTATGTAAAAGTATACAAATACATATATCATCACTATTTTCTCATCATTAATAAATAGTAAAATTATATGTGTACCAAAAATGGGTGGTGCAGGAGAATGGTCTGTATTATGTCAATTGTGCTTTAAATAAACACTGATTGGCCAGGCAGGAAGTATAGGTGGAAAAACCAGACAGGAAGTAGAAATGATAAAAGGAGAACAGGAGAATTCTGGGAAGGAGGAAGTTGATTCCTCCCACTCCTACCCACTCCTGGCAAGACCACTGAAGCAGCAGGATGTGATCTTCCCCAGCAGAAAAAGGTACTGAGCCACATGGCTAACATAGATCAGAAAAATGGATTAATCGAGATGTGAGAGTTGGCCAGTGAGAGGCTAGAGCTAATGGGCCAATCAGCTTATAATTTATGGAGACCTATGTGTGATTTCCTTTGGGGCTAAAGAGTTGTGGGGTACCAGGCGGGACAAAAACCCCAATAAGCCAGGCACGTTCGTGTAACAAATGGCTTTGAAATGAACTTACGATTTCTTATTAGTAAATATCCATTTTGTATACCTATCTCATATACCTAGATACCAAAAAGCACTTAAAATTTTCTTGAGTTAAAAAAAAAAAGTGTTGCCAACAGAAGAGGTTTAAGAAGCTTTGCTGTGATGCCACACAGAACATCCCGTTTCCTTCTCAGCATTACAGGGTCCATGATACAGAGCAAGAACTGCACTTGTTTCCCAAGTCAGTTCCTAGGCCTGGCACACTCTATGTAAACAAGTATTTAGTGAAGGAATCCAAGGCTGTTTCCAGCGGGTGGCTCCTTCCATCTTTCTTTGTTCTTACTTCTTTGTAACGTTTTTAATTACTCTATCTATATTAAATCCTGCTGTGACCCAATTCAGAAATGTCTAGTAGCCATCCACTCAAATCACCAAACTGAAACACCTAGTGATTTTATTTGGAAATTGTTTTTTTATGTAACAGTCATGATGGAAGAATGATTCCTAATGAGTAATTCGGATCTCACAGGAGAAAGGACTGGTCCTTTTCTCCGCATTCATCACTGAAGTCTGACCACTTTATCTTCTGTAGCTTATGTGAGCTCTTCCACTTTAAGGAGTAATCGCACATAGTTTTTTCAAAAATGAACACACACATACACACACACTGATCAAAATTTAAAAGAACTGCTTTTCTTTAATATGACTTAGTTGTTTTTAAGTTTAAAATGATCTAAAAAATCTGAATGTCTCATCATTCGTCATGGTCTTCAATCATAGTGACTGAATTTCCAAGTCAACACCATATACAAACAGTTGGAATCCTTTTTCTGTGCTACTGTTCTTTAAAGGGATGGCAAATAATTTCACGACTGCTAACTTATGTCACTGTTCAACGCAAAACTTCTCAGTCTAAATAGTTGTAAAGGGGAAAAAAGTACTCATTTTTCAAAGATAGAAAAGAACTGTATTTCTTTTTCGAATACTCTAGTATCTTGATGAGTGACTCAGCACCTCGAGTGCCTTAGCTTTTCCATGCTGTGACCTCCTGGAGTTAACTCATCTGACACCAGATTTAGGTAATGAAGGGAAAGTGCTGCTCACCTTTAAACTGCCCAGTGCTCTGAATACAGCCCTGGATATGCATTTACTCACAGAACCAGGAGAACTAGAGTTCAGCAGAAAGCCATTTATTTTATATTCCACATTTTGGCAAGTCTTTTTAAAATATATTTCTATTTCCTGGTTTAGAACACATGAAACAAGAAGTATTTCCTGAAGATTTGTTCCCAACAGTATCCTGTTCTAAACATTCACAACTCACTTTTTATGACACCTTTCTCAAATTAAATTCCTTTTAGGTTTCTGACCCTAATTCCAGGGCTTCATACTGAAGACGTGTTTTAATTCCCTAAATAATATGTGTGGCATTTGTCTTTTAAAATACTCTTTTTTTGCATGGTTAACCAAAAACAAAACAAAAGAAAAACAAAAACTCTCAACTGCAAAGTGAGAACATAAAGGACACAAGGTTCACTACAACCCAGAGCCCCAGCCTCCTGGCTTCGGAACACAGTGGAAGAAAGCCGGAAGGTACGCCTGCAAGCATCCTTGATCACTGAGGCATCTTCACTAAGCATTTTTCACTGCTCAGGTTAGGTAAATCTGCTCCCTCTGCTGGCCAATTCTGTATCTCCTAGCTTATTATTTGAAGAGAAAAACAATGTTTCCTAGCATACTGAGTGACTGTTCCCTGTGCTGCACTCAGGAGCCGTGCAAACTCGGGAGAGACCACAGAAAGCTCCCAGGCAACCCAAAGAAGAGTTAAACTCAAGGATTTAAAACTGTGCACCACTCTCCCCTTAAGCAAGATTTTTAGTCTACTGAGATGACTGCTCCTTGATTTCTTTCCTTTCTACCTGGAGTATCCAGTCTCTTTCCATACTACCAAGAGGCAGTGTGCGCAGGAACCACAGGAGGGCTTGTTCAACTTAGATACTAATTTGTCAAGATCACAAGAGTTCCTGACCTGACAAATACAACAGGGACCACAGCTGCCAAAGGCTCTAACTGATGGTGACTTCGTCAAAGATAGATATAATCGATAATTAGGTCATTTTCTGACACATTTTAGAAACTTTTAATTTTAATAAAGTACCTTATAATTGGAAATTTGAGTGCCTTTCATTAAGTTCCAAATATATTTTATAATATGTAAAAACTGCCATTGACACCTCCAGTTGCTGCTTTACCTGTTACCTTGTATTCTTGTAGCGCTATGTAATCTGTAAAACCTTTATTATATTCATTTATGTATGTCCATATCATGACTCAATTCTGCAAAGTAGGAAAAAACATAACTACTTTAAAGTCCAGTGAAAGAAGCATACAGAGATTTTTAGTATCTTTCAGATGCCACTGACTGTCATAGCCTTAAATGCTCTGCACTTTCAACCACAAACACAGGTAGTGTCTTACATCTAAATTGTCGTGGACTGTAGTATTTAAACAATGTTTACTTTGTAAAGAAAACTATCACCATTTCAAAGAGCTTTTGGGGGATCATTTCATTAGTATCTATCAGTACTTAAGAGAATCACCAACATCCATCACATAGATTTAGCCTTCTGAACACACTGGGGGAGGAGAAGGACTCAAGAATGGAGAGCTCATGTATCTGTACTCTGCATTTTGTTAGTATTGATGTCCTTGGGAATAACAGTGCGTGGGTACTCAATCAATCTTTCAAGTGTGTTATTGATGGAGCGAAGTTGAATCTTCATCTAATCTTTATGATAGGTGGGGTGGAAAAACATCATGAATTCTCAGTATTTGAAGTAAATTCAGTATTGTACACAGTAAATAGTTTACAGTTTAATAGATATCACAACAGCTTGTTATTGCCACAGGCAACATGCAGGGAAGGGAGGCCTAGCATATAATCCCAGAGGAGCATGCAGCTTCCCACGCTCACTGCAAGTACTTTTAAGTATAAAAGCACAAATCCATAGCATATTTTTGTTTTCTAGTTTGAGACAGGGTCTCAATAATTAGCCTCGGCTGTCCTGGAATTCATTATGTAAACCTGGCTGATCTCAAACTCAGAGATCCACCTGTCTCTGTCTATTAAACTACAGGGATTAAAGGTGTGAACCAACAAGAGCATGATATAGCTAATATTTATTAGACTTTAAAATATACTAAGAATAGATATTTGGATAAAGAAATAATATATGGGCACAAACTCACCATAGAGAAGAATGAATGCATGTCATTGAGAAACAAATGGAAACTGGAGATTGTCATGTTATATAAACAAGCCAGACTCATAAAGTATTACATATTTTCTCTCATATGAGGAATCTGGAGTTAAAAAAAATAAACCATGAAAGTGGGAGCAAGACTATTTGGGGACCAGGTGGTGGAGGAAGGAGGACAAGAGAGAGCAATAGAGGTGGAGTAATAGAATAAGAATATATTATATGCTAATGTAAAACATTACATGGGAACTGATCATTTTGTACAACTAATATACACTAGTAGAATTATTTAAAATGAAAAGTAAGTTTGAGTGAAATTTTGGAAAAAAAAAAGGAACACAAATGTCAAACAATCTAAAAGGGAAAATACATCAAGCCTATCCTTATTCATAATCTAATGGCAAATGTCATAAACATTTTATACAATGCTGCAGCTTTTCTCAAACAGGAAGCTAAGCTTTATCTTGGAGTGACGAGAAGACTGCTTCTCGAGCCTTACAAGCAACTTAGCTCTCATGATTCTCATGTTCTTCAGGTGAGCTCTTAACGGGGCCTCTGCTCAGACCTCTCCATCTAGTGTCAACCTTTGGGCATGAACTCACATTAAAAGAAATGGTACTAGTTATGAAAGATGAGTTCAGGCAATAGAAGATTCACTGGTAAGATAGAATCTTTATAATAATAAAACCATTTGGAAAACTAGACAGCGTGTAATAGAGAGAGACAAATGTGGCCCAAGCCAAGAGAGAATGCGGAGGATATAATACTATGCTGCCGTCTCCTCATGTGGGCACCTCAGAGACACTGAAGCCAATGGAGAATTCAGACCAGAATCCATTCGTCAGGATTAATTCAGATTTATTCCCTCTGATAACCTGAATTTAGCCACTTAACCCTTTAACAGTTAAACTTCCTTCCCCACACTGCTGAAGGCACTGTCCATTGTCAACCTAGTTCCAAGACCTTTCGGGCACCGTAAAACTTCGCCAGCTCTACTTGGCTTTTCTTTATATACGTCGGGATGCTAACAAAAATAATTGTTATAACCTAAGACTGCAGTAGGTTCTGCAACTTGCTAAGAGCTGAACTAAATGGAAGGGAGTCAGGTGGCTGGCCATTTCCTGAATCTCCAACTTGAATTACGAACTGGCAAGATGTGTATAGGAAAGGAATTCTCAGGAAGAAGAAAATGTGGTCAAAGGCAGTCATCCTGTGATTTTCACGCGTTTCCTTGCGTGTAGGGATCCTTTCTGCAGAGAAGCAGAGAGCCATGAGATGAACAGTACATTCAATACTAGCGTTCATCCTGGCTTAGCGCTAACGAAAAGGATCCAGTATCAGGCCTGCCCAGTGACAAATCTGTAACCTGATAGAGTAAAAAAACTGGAAGGGCTTCAGAGCTCAGAAGGCTGTTTTAGGGCTAGTGGGAAACAGTGCTTCCTCTGAAAACCTTATGACTGAGTTCCATCTTCAGAATCCCTGGTGGAAGGAGAGACTCAACTCTGGAAAGTTGTTCTCTGATCTCCACGCACAGGCATGCACGCACACACACACTTTCTCCCCACGCTCCTCCTCCCTACCACATACAGAGTAATAATAAATAAGAGCTTTTAAAAAGAAAGTTGATCTAAATGACCCGTCTCATCACTCTGATGCTGTGATTTGGTCTTGCAACCATCGTTACAACTGAAGTGTAGTAGGGAATACCTCCTTCCCTGTACACAGTCCTCCACTACACCCCACAGCACGCACACAGAGGGTACAGACACAGTTCCTCCAGCAACCTTTACACTCACGGAAGTTTATCTGCAGTTTTATCTGTATAGATGTGTCTTTTGTCATGGTACTTTTATGTGTTTTTTTCCACAATTTCCTCCTGGTTTAACAGCGGATTCTATAATTTAGAAATTAGCTACAATGTTGAATGCTGCACATCTTCACCGAGTTATATTTTAATTATTGATACTTTAAAGTTAGATTTTGTATTAAGAAAAAAAATTTTTTCCAATGTTTTAATAAGGCTTCCTATGATATGTGTGTTGGTGGCAACTACAGTCCTTGCTATTTCCAAGGCTAGGGAAAAACAGTACATTTTCATTGGAAATAAAGGTGGACTTGCAGCAAAAACTGAAATAAGAATTCTAAAACATGACTAGGAAAGAGTATGTAGACCTTTGCTTTTCTTTCTCAAGTTACCAATATTGCAGGTACCACGCTAACTTTTAAATTATTTAATTCCCGCAATGACACTATGAAATAGGAACTATATTGGGCAAAGTTTTGATGTAAGGAACTGAGAGGCAGAGAGGAACTTACCCAGTGCCACTGCCAGGAAAGCTGGGACACTGTATGAGTAGGACTGGAGCCCGAGAAGCCCAGACGCAATACTGCACTGCTATTTGGCACTTACCAGGCCTAAGTGACTGAAGGAGTTCTCCACTACTGCTACAGCACCTTTAGAAACAGAACTAAACTCTAAAAAGTTTCTACTGTGTCCTCTAAAGATCACGGAGCTCGTAGGGTAAGTAAGGAAACAAAAAACAAGGAAAAGAAAAGAAAAAAAAATGGTAACGACCTCTGTCATCTTTAACCTGGGACTTTCTTTCACAAGTGAAGAGTGTGCAAGTCAGTATAGTTCAGCTCCACCTGAATTAACATTAGGAGTTTAACTATGATGAAATCGCTACCTTAAGAGCTTCACTATCAAATGACCCATAAGTTCATTTAATGATTTTTTAAAACAAGTAAATATTAATAGAACCTAGTTATTTTATTGGGCTATATTTTATTCTTTATTACACATAAAATAAAAATAGATCATATATTGTATAAAATTAGTATAAAACTCAAATAAGTTCTCTTACTAGTAGTGTTTTCCATATAGCCCAGGAGTCTATTAAACCAGCTACAAAAAATTTTAGGGTTCACCTTGAAGGTATGTTACCAAACTTATATGGAACCCCAACTCCCAATTTCTCATCTACTACAAATATCATGTGAGGTGATATAAAGAACTAGTGTACTGGGAAGAGGGAGATGCTAACGTGACAGCCATCTCACGTGGAAACATGGGGGGGCCTTGATCCACCGCTTCCAACCTATAACCATGAGTCTCGAGACTTATCTCACACAGCCATACAGACAGTAAGAAATGACTGTTTGGTTTCTAACACCAAAAGTGAGAGCAAAGTCCTCTGACAAAAAAGAACACAAACAGCTCTCTCATATTAAAGTTGTAAACCACTACTGCTTGAATTGAAGCAAGGCAAAAGTTTGTCTTCCAGTCACTTCTGGATTTAGGTTCCTGGGACACAGACATTTGTAGCTGAAGTTTGCAAATAAGTAAGGCTGCAGAGTGTTGGGCTGTGCTCACAGCCCAAACCCCACTAAAGACCTCTAAACCTGGTCTGTAAGAGGTAAAGGCAGAACTGTGCGTGTGTGCGTGTGTATGGGCATGTGTGTCTGTGTTTTAAGACACACTCTCATTATATAGTCCGGGTTTGCCTCAAACTGTCCATGCCCCTCAGGCTAGCCTTGAAGTGGTAATCTTCCTGTCACAGTCTCCTGAGTTCTGGGATTACAGTAATGCAATACCACAGTAACTAGACATTTTAAACTAAACATTTTCAGACTCTGAACTGAAATAAAACATGGGTCCCTTTTAACAACTGGTTATAGCCAGATGGTGGTGGCACACGCCTTTAATTCCAGCACTCGGGAGGCAGAGACTGGAGGACCTTTGTGAGTTCAATGCCAGGTAGGTCTACAGAATGAGTTCCAGGATAGGCTTCAAAGTTACAGAGAAACTCTATCTCGGAAAAAAAAAAAAAAACTGGTCATTATATATGTGTAAACTATAGACATAGACACATTTGTCTTAGTGTATTACAAACCCGAGAGTATTTTGAATTCGTATCATTTAGTGAGACACAAGCGGCTAATGTATTGTTTTTAATGTTAAAAATCACCAGGTATATTGATAATAAAAGATGGCCGAAAGGACGGCTTAGTTTTTTCTTCCCACTCAGCTTCTGAAATGAGCTGATCAATACAGGAAAAGCTCCTAAGGGGCAATTTTATCCTATTACCCTAATGAGAGAAGCAGGCAAGAAAGGGTCTATCCAGGACAGCTTGCAATTGTCAAAGTTCCTTGTTCTGTGACTGAATATCTTTAAGACACCAAGAAGCAGAAAACCAAACCCTGTGGTTATAAAGGCAGGAACAACAACCAGCACTGAGAATTTTCACTGGAAATCTGTAAAGACAACAATCGGGAAGGTTGAGTGACGAGAGTCTGTGGTTTCTGGGACTTCTGCCCAGCGTATTAGTCAAAATGCACTGGGGCATGAGGAACCGTCATGTACGGGAGACGTCACTTACAGTTCATGAAAGTAAGTAACCAAGAAGT